CTCTCTATACCTTCTAAGGAAACTTACCTTTAATCAAAGATGAGAACCTCTGAATCCTACAAAAAAATGACAATTGTTTTTTTTTAAACAAGTTAAAAAAAAATTAATTGTTGTTTTTCCTCTGATCCAGGACAAAGATCTTTGAATCCTACAAAAAAAGATAAGTAAATTATTAGTTTTTTAATACTAATAAAAAAAAATTTAACTGATACTTTCATTTTTCTTCCATAAGAACTTACCTTCTATTTCAAGTCTTGAAAGTCTTCTGAATCCTATAAAAAGGTAAGTAGAAGTTAACTAACATTTTCTCTATACCCTCTATAGGTCTATAAAAGCTTACTTTCGATCAAAGACCTTTGACCTACAAAAAAAAGGTGAGTAATAGTTAAAAAATAATATTAATTGCTATTTTCATCTCTTTATAAGAACTTACCTCTAATTCAGAATGAAAACCTTCAGATCTTACAAAAAAAAGAAGAGTAATTAGTTTTTTTTTTTTAATAAATAACAAAAAATTAATTGTTATTTCTATTTTCTCTTTATAGGAATTTATCTCTGATTCAGGATGAAAACCTTTGGATCCTACAAAAAAAGGTAAGTTAATATTTTTTTTTTTAATACAAATAAAAGATTTCGACTGATGCATCCATTCTCCTTCTATATGAACTTACTTTCCATTCTAAGCCTTGAAAGTCTTCTGAATTCTACAAAAAGGTAAGCAGAGTGTTATTTTTTTTTTAAAAAAATAAAAAAATATATATATTAACTAATGCTCTCTCTATACCTTCTATAGGAACTTACCTTTAATCAAGGATGAAAACCTCTGAATCCTATAAAAAAGGTAATTAGTTTAAATAAAGTTAAAAAAAAAATAATTGCTGTTTCCATTTTCTCTCCATAGGAATTTACTTCTGATTCAGGATGAAAACCTTTAGATCCTATAAAAAAAGATAAGTTAATTATTATTTTTTTTTTAATACAAATAAAAATATTTCAACTGACTTCTATTCTTCTTCTATAAGAACTTACTTTCCATTCTAAGCCTGAAAAGTCTTTTGAATTCTACAAAAAGGTAAGCAGAGTATTATTATTTTTTAAAAAAATAAAAAAAATATATATATTAACTAACGCTCCCTCTATACCTTCCATAAGAACTTACCTTCAATCAAGGATAAAAACCTCTAAATCCTACAAAAAAAAGGTAATTAGTTTAAATAAAGTTAAAAAAAAATAATTGCTGTTTCCACTTTCTTTCATAGGTACTTACCTCTGATTTAGGACAAAAATCTTTAGATCCTACAAATAAAAGGTGAGTTAATTATTAAAGTTTTTTTATTACAAATAAAAAAGATTTTAACTGACACTTCTATTCTTTTTCTATAGAAACTTACCTTTCATTCAAGTCTTAAAAGTCCTCCAAATTCTACAAAAAGGTAAGTAGAGTGTTATTTTTTTTAAAAAAAATAAAAAAAATTAATTAACGCTTCCTCTATACTCTCCATACCTCTATAGGATTCTATAAAAAAAAGGCAATTTAACTTTAATTTTTTTAAATAAAAAAAAAATAATAATTGTCACCATAGGAATTACTTTCTGATCCAAAATAAATCATATAAAAAAAGGTAAGTTATTGGTTTTTTTTTATTTTTAACAAATTAAAGTAATTTAATTATAAGAACTTATCTCTGATTAGAGTTTCAAACGAGTTGAGTTAACTCACGAGTCAGATAAGCTGAGTTGAGTTCAAATCAAGTCAAGTTTATGTTTTTTTGACTCAATGATTTGTGAGTCAAGCCAAATTCAAGTTGAATTAAATATTTAACTCAACTCAATTTAAACTCAACTTGATTTGAGTTAACTCGAGTTGACTTGAATGATAAAAAAATCATTCTAAAAAGAACGATAAGAAATCGTTCGACTTGAATAATAAAAAAATTATTCAAGAAGAACGATAAGAAATCATTTGACTTGAACGATAAAAAAAATTGTTCAAGAAGAACGATGATCCAAATCGTTCGACTTAAATGATAAAAATCATTCAAGAAGAATGATAAGAAATCATTCGACTTAAATGATAAAAAAATTGTTTAAGAAAAATGATTAGAAATCGTTCAACTTGAACAATAAAAAAATCATTCAAGAAGAATGATAAAAAATTGTTTAACTTGAACAATAAAAAAAATTGTTCAAGAAGAATGATGACAAATCATTTGACTTGAACAATAAAAAAATCATTCAAGAAGAACGATAAGAAATCATTTGACTTGAACGATAAAAAAAATTATTCAAAAAGAATGATGACAAATCGTTTGACTTGAATGATAAAAAAAATCATTCAAGAAGAACGATGATCTGAATTGTTTGACTTGAATGATAAAAAATCATTCAAGAAGAACAATGATCTGAATTGTTTGACTTGAATGATAAAAAATCATTTAAGAAGAACAATGATCTGAATTGTTTGACTTGAATGATAAAAAATCATTCAAAAAAAATGATGACCTAAATCATTCGCTTTTCCCAGTTCCCTACAATCTTTTCATTTTTTTTTATTGTTTTTTTTTTTCAAAATTGAATTGAGTTAAAATCGAGTCGAGTCAAATTGAGTCAAGTTTAAAATTTATATAATTTGAATCAAATCAAATTGAAAGATTTTATAAAATAAATTTGACTTGACTCAACTTGAAAAAAGAGAGTCGAATAGAATTGATCTTTAAACTTGACTCGACTTGACTTATTCAGAACTCTACCACTGATTCAGGATGAAGATTTTTGGATTGTGAGTTTTTTAATACAAGTAAAAAAAATTTTTTGACTAACGCTTCCATACTCCTTCTATAGAACTTATCTTGAAAGTCTTCTGAATTCTACAAAAGGTAAGCAAAGGGTTATTATTTAAAAAAAAATAAAAAAAATAATATTATCTAACGCTCCCTCTATAGAAATTTACCTTCAATCAAGAATGAAGACCTCTGAATTCTACAAAATGAGATAATTAGTTTTCTTTTTTTTTAAACAAATTAAAAAAAGTAATTTAATTGCGTTTCTATTCTCTCTCCATAGGAATTATTAGTTTTTTTTTCTAAAAAACAAATTAAAAAATTTAACTGTGGCTTTCTATACCTGATCAAAAGATAAAAAAAATTCGTAATTTATCTCTACAAATAAAATTTTTAAAATTAACACCTATTTTAATTAATTATCTTATGTAATTTTAAATATAAGATCATGTGACGATAAATATACTAAATGCATTGTACTATAATATTTGAGTACAGTACATTATTTAGGACAGTATTAGTATAGTACCAGTACAGTACTAGTACAATTCCTAACCCTGCTAATGGGACTATCCTTAACTATGACTAAAACATAAGAGAATGACCATTCTTCAGTTAGTTCTCTTTATACTTTACTAGTGCGACTTTTTTGAAACTAAGTGAAAGTTGATTTATCATTTCATAAAACCTTTACCTAATCATTTTTAGTCTGATTTTCATGCTTCAAATACTATGCAAGTCATGTTGTTTTATTTGCAAGTAAAATAAGAAACTTATATTATATAATATAATTTCTTAACCTAAATGAATAAAACGTATAACAGATGGTATTTACAGAAATATTCCATCCTTTTTTTTAAAGTTTTTTCACTCTAATAATACATAGTCATCAGTTTTGTATTTTTTTATTTGTTATCAAACGTTTAAGTCTTTTAAGCTGATTATTATTAATTAAATATGATTGTTTAGATTAACACTTAGAATCTATAGAACTAGTTTTATCATATTATTTTAATATATCAAAAACTGTTATTTATTTATACCTAATAGTTTTAGTAATTTTTTGGTATAAATCTTATATTAACGATAATAAAATATTACCTTATATTATTTTATAATTAATTCATTTTTATTTTTCATTTTTTTTGCAAAGCGTAGTGAAGTAAATAAATCAAATGATTTATAACATTATATGCAAACATATATTTATATATAAATAAACTAAATGCTGATTACTTCTTTTTATAGTTATTGATTATCTATAAGTTATTCAAAAACTTTTAGGTGCTCTTTATAGATTATAAATATATAAAAATATTTCATTATAATCTAAAATATTAGATTTATTAGATTTGTATTAATAATAAATCTAAATATTTATATAGAATTTTTAATTAAAAGTCTTAATGTATTAATATTTGAATATCTTAACTTATAAATAAGATGAATATTTTCTATTAATGAATAAGTTACTTTATTATAATTAAGTATGAAGGTAAACAGGTAGATAAATTATTAAGCATATACTAATAATATTAAGTTTAATTATATTCAAATAAATAAAGATCAAATATATGTTATTATTTATTTTAATAAGAGATATAAAATAAATTTGTCTAATTGGATTAAAATTTTGTCTAACAGATAGGTTTTACCAGATTAACAGATATTTAGTAAATATCTAATAAATATCTGCTAAACCTTAATAATAAATGACCATTAGATTTAGAAATGATTGCTTGAGTAAATATATTAAAATAATCTATAAAATTTTTTCATATATTCTTTGATGCATTTATTTTTCTTTGTTCTCTTATAATAAAATATAAAATGTCTTTGATACTAATTACTGAATATATTCAAATAGATAAAAGTATGCAGAAGAATTATTATAATAAACAATACTAATAACTAACTAAAATAAGGCATTACAAAAAAAGAAAAGATGTATTAAAGATAATATTTTAACTGCTAAAGTTATTATTTCTGAGTTTACTTTTCATCAAAATGATTTAGATTCACCTATTGAAATAGATAGTACTGAATAAAAATGAATAAGAAAAGAAAGTTCAGAGAAATATATTTAGATTTAGAATTATTATAAAAAACTTGATCTAAAGCCATCACATATTCGAATAGTAAAATATCATGTTAAAATTTATGGTAAAATGGGATTATAACTATGTAAAAAAATAATAAATTCAAAGGATTATTCAACTAGTAATTATATTAATTATCTGAATACTACACATAGTATTACAAAAGAAAAGCATGATTAAAAAATAAAAAAATAGCAAGTAATACAATAACTTTAAATTAATACTATGTTTTACAAAATAATTTCAGATAATCTGCAAAGGAAAAATCTTCTTGATCAAAATTTGTTGGTATATAAATAAAAGATTATCAATCACTTAGTATTCATGAAGATAAAGAATTTCTTGAGTTTATCTATGAACTTGATCCTTTATATCAATTATCAAATAAAAAAAAAATCTAGGAGTTACTTACAAATAGTTATAATTATATCAAAAATGTTTTAATTAATGATTTATATTCAAATATTATTACTTACTTCTTAACTACTGACCTATAGACAGCCTGTAGTTATATAGAATATATTAGAATTACTTGTGCATATATTGATAAATAATTTAAATTGAATGAAGCAATTCTTGCAATTAAGTATATTCCATATTCCTATACTGGTGAAGCAATTGCTGAAGAAATTTAAACTATTATAGATGAATGAAATCTGACTAATAAAGTTTTCACTATAATAACTAATAATAATAGTAATATAATAAAAGCTACTTAATTAATTTCTGAAATAATTAGAATACTATACATAGCTCATATAATTCAATTAATAGTTAGAAAAGGTCTTTTACCAGTAGAAGTATTAATTGTAAAATCCAAATGGCTTATGTTATTTTTTACATCTTTAAAACAAACAGAAAGCTTATAAAAATTCAAAAAAGTATGAATTGAACTATTGGTAAGGTAAATTTTATAATTGATAAGAATTTAGACCATTTGTTTTTGGATAAATCTTATTTTTATTTTTAAATAATATTACTAATAGACTACAATATTTAATAGAATTTTCAAGAAAATGATTATTATCTTCAAATTATTGCTAATGTAAAAATTAGATAAAACTCTTTTTATTTTGTTTGAAAGCGGCTAATTGTAATAAAAAATTTTATTAATATTATGATAATACCACTTTGTATGGATTCAAATAGGCAAGCAAATAAAGATGAAAAATATTTAAAGAAAATTAATTTTATCAAAGATGAATGGGATACAATTAATAAATTAATTTTAGTTCTTGAATTTTTTGCTAATGTAACTGAATTTTTAGGCGGTAGCAAATATGCAACAGTCAGTTTTATATATTATACAATTAATATTATTATAAAAGATGTTAAACTAAGTGAATCTGATAAAAATCATGAAACTATTAATCTAATTGAGCTAGATATAGCATTTAATAATGATATTAGATATAAAGATGCAGAAAAAGATAATATTACTGATGATCAATCAAAAAGATGAAAAATCAAGATTAATATATCACAAAATTGTAAAGATCTTATTATAAATGCTAAAAGAGCATTATACAAATTAATTACTTATTATTGGAACATTTCAGAAGACTATAGATTAATTGCAATACTATTAGATCCCTATTGTAAATCTTTATCTTTTGTATTTCAGAATTTTACGATAATATTCATTCTAAATTAAGATTAATTTATAATGAATTACAATCAAAATATGATGAGCAGGAAAGGAAATATCATAAAGAATACCTAACAAATTTATTGTTAGCAAGCATGTTTAGCAGGAAATGTAAACATAGTGACAAAGTTACTGAATATCTAAAGATTGAAAAAATTAGCTTTTCTAAGTGTCCTTTTGATTGGTAATGCAAAAATAAAAATTGATTTCCAGTTTTATCAAAGATAACATAAAAATACTTAACAATTCTAGCAAGTTTTATACCAAGCGAAAGACTGTTTAGTGATACTAAAAATATTATGACAGTTCAATATATTGGCTTTTTACCTTTAACATTTAACATCTCTTATTTTTAAAACGTAATTGGAATTTATTATATCCATATTTCCTGAGAAATAAATTTCAAGATATGTGAAATTTAATTTGTATTAATTTCAATATAAAATTTTGAAATTTTATGACAAGTTATCTAAAAATTCCCATATGCAAAAAATGATATAAAATATTAAATTATCTATAGCATTGTATTTTTTTTTAGAAAATTTTACAAATGAATTTTCTATTATAAATTTTGGTCAAACTTGTTTAAATTTAGAAAATTTTATTTTAGTATAATATAATAAACTACTTTTTTTGTAAATGCATAAAATTTTAATATTTTTTTAAACTAAACTAATAAATTTTTAAATCTAATATTTATTAATCTGTATAGATGAATCCAATTATCTTGAAGTTAAAAATAGATTTTAATCTGATTAAGAAATTTATCAAACAGTTATAATCTATGCAGATCAAAGAATCACCAGTTTTGACTACTAAACTAACATTATGTATAAATATATTATTCTTAACTTTATTAAAAAATAAAATTAAAGCTAAATAAATATATTTTTGAAATAAGTATATTTAAATTTAAAATATATAAATTTTAAAAGATGTAAATTATATATATTCTTAATAATAACAATTTAAAAGCACTTTTAAGTAAGTATTTAAAATTAAAAATACTCTCAATAATTAATTTTAAATGTATAATTTAAAAATTTTTTAATTATATTTTAGTTTAAAAATATAAAATTAAAGTTTGTTTACAAATTAATGAAAAATTATAATTAGTTTTCAAAAGATTTAGAATTTATTTAGTAAATAAAATTAGGTAAAATTAATTTTTTATTTGACTGAAATATTTTCTGATATGAAAAATAATTAGTTATAAATATAATATTTAAGATAACTTATATAAAATATAAATTTAATCTTTTTTAGATAAATAAATCATAATGAAAAATACAAAGCAATAAAGATAAATCATAAATATTATATAATTAAAAAATTAATTAAATATTTTTTAATATAAATTTATTAGTAAAAGCTTGATTGATAAACTTAAAATAAAATACATTAAATATTAAAAGTATAAGAAAATAAAAACTTATTAGATTATATAGATTGTTTAGAGTTATTTTTTTTATATAAGAAAAAGATAGATTAGTAGATAATTATGATAAAGTTTTAAATATTTTGAGATTATTAAAAAATCAAAGTTGATCTTATATTAGAATTACTATGATTATGATTATATAATAAATTTGTTAAGAAAATGGAACTCTAAAAATTTTTTGATTAAATTAAGATCTTATTATATTTAATCTAATAATATCAAAAATTAAAAAGTAATAAAAAATAAAATTTTATTAAAAAATTCTTAGTCTTATTTTTTTAGTAAACTTTCTATATAATAAATATAAATATTTTTAAAGAAAGATTATTAATTTTTTAGTAATTATATACTAGTTTACAAATATTTAAGTTTTAATAAGTCTTTTTATAAATCTGATTTTAAAAAAATTTAAGTTATATTTATCTAAATCTAATTTATTTAAAGAATCTGATATTTTAATAATAAAAGTATTTAAAAAATACTATTAATCTAAAAAAAATTTAGAAGATTAAATCTTAAGGGAAAATTAACAGTAGTAAAGAAATTTAAATCTTTTAAACATATAAAGTAACTAATTATAGCTTAATCAAATTAATTAAATTGGATTATTCCATTCTAAAAATTTATTTTAAGAGATTAATATATTTATAATGCAAATTATAAGTTATATAATTAATAATTACATTTATTTTTTTATTAATATTTTAAGTAAAATAAGAAATAATGAGATAGATATTAAGATAAAAAAAGATTACAATAAATTTAATAAAAATATAGATTAAGGTATAAATAGAAACTTGAATTTATACCAGCATAAATAAACTAAAATAAATTTTTTTGTAAAATCGAAATCTATTAGAATATAAAGATGGTTAAGTATTGAAGAGAGAAAAGATTTAAATAATTTATATATAATCTACCTAATATAAAAATTTAATATTATTATTCTATATATTGTCAGTGTTGAAAATTTGTTCTAGAAAAATGATTTACAAAGTTATTAGATTTAATTTTATGTAGATCATATTAAGGAAGATCTTGATCGATGTATTGCATTAGAAAATCAGGCTAATTTATTTAATTTGAAGGATTTACAAAATTCACCTGATTCGCTTGTTCTTCTATATTTTTTGTACAGCCTGTTTATTCTGTTTACTCTGTTTTACCTATAATTTCTTTAATATCTGTAATTTATTTTATTTCTTTTTATTACTTTTATAGTTTATATTATTTTTATTATTTTATTATATTTAAGTATATTTTTATTAAAACATATATTTATATTTAGTTAATTTATAGCGTAGCAAGTAATTAGCTGTAGCAAATTAATTTTATATAAATAGAATAGCTTTTTGATTAAGTTGTAAATTAACTCATTTGTAAGTTACTTATAAGTTTCAAGTTATAAATAAAGGAATCAATTTAAATCTATATAAACTACTTTTTTCTTCAATATTGTTCTTCACCTAGGATTGTGTGATATCTTACACTAACTTGCTATTGAGTTTATCATTATGAATTTGATTAAATATATCTTAAATTCTAAAACGTAATAAATTTCTGAGTTAATTTAAGTATAACGGATACTTGTAAGGCTTAGAAAAAATTCTAAGGTCAGAAACTCCAATGTATAGAATCAACTATTACAGTTGCTTAACTTAAACATTAAGATAAACAAAAATGAACCTGATAATAATAATTATATAAACTATTATTTATCTTTTATAAATATTGAATTTGATAGATTTACCATATGGTCTGAAAGAACTTAAACAGAAAATGTGATCAAATAGAAAAAAGATTATTAGCTATAATAATAATGCAAATGAGCTAATATAAGTTATTACTTCAAAGTAAAAACTCAATAATAGAATATTATTTAAAAGTAAAGAAATATAATAATATTAAATTTTTGTAAAAATTATTTTAGAAATATATTTATTAAAAGATTAATTTTAAAAATAAAATTACTTTATTTTAAACTTTAAACATAATTTTTTTATTTATAAATTAGTAGAATTGCTTATTCAAATAAAAAAGAAATTATGCTTAATTTTTATTATTATTTTTCAATTAAATTTGTATTTTCTAATAATAATTTATTTTCGCATTTTAATTAAGAATTAATATAACATTTTTAACTATACAAGAATACTCTTTTAAATCTTTTTTTTTAAAGCATAACTTTTGCAAGAAAAAAGATTTATTTTTTTCTTAACAAATTATATGAAAAGGTGAGATTTTAATTAGTAAATTTTTTTATTTACTTTATATAAGTAAAATAATAATTTAATTAAACTAATCAATAAAGATGATCCCCATAATTATTTTCAAATTTCAATTGAGTTATAACTTAATTACATTATAAGAAAATTTAATTGTGCCACAAGTTGTAACTCAATTATGTTATTTTTTTAAATTGCAGTTACTATTTTTACTAATCAAATTAATTAAACTTATATTATTTATATTATTAATATTAACAATTAATTAAATTAGTATAATCTGTAATGTTAAAATGTTATTATAATATTAATTAAATTTTTCTTATAGATATATAATATCAAAACAAATATATTACCATTCTTTTATCCTTTATATATTTTGATAATTAATAAGTAAAGTAATTTATCAATATGTAAAAAAATAATTTTATTATTACTCATTAAATAAATTGATATTTATCTTATAATTAATTAATTTGATTTTAATTAATTAGTATCATATTAATATTATGTAATTTATTTAGATAAAAAGATATATATAAACTGATGAATTTTTAAAAAGAAAATAATCTTATTTTTAAATTATTTTAATAAAAATACTATTTATAGTTAGTCTTATTTAATCTTTATTTACTATATTTATAATAAAAAGTTGAGTTTATAATCATCAATATCTAAAAGTTATTGAATAAAGATATAACCCTTTAACAATAGAAAACTTGAAGTAGTTTTATTAAAAAGGTTAAATAAATCAAATAAATTTATATGCAGAAAAGTATAATTTTATGATAATATAATAGATTAATACTAAACAAAACATCATATATTTTACTTTAAGTTTTCTTAGTATGTTATTATTTGTTATACTTAATTAACAAAGTATTAATATTAAATAGAATATCATACGTTCTACCTTAAATTTTCTCATTGTAATATTAATTATTAAATTATAAAATAATATTTATTGATACTCTATCAACTTAGTTTAATTCATATGAAAAAGCTAAAGAGGTAAATTTAATATTACATCATTAATTTTCTGATCTTTTCTTTATATAATTATTTTATACAGTATAAGTATCAAATTTCATTAAATACTCATATAAGAGAGAAAAAGAAATTATATTTTAGCTAACAATTAGAGTTATAAATAAAGTAAGTATTCAGTTAAATTTATTGATATTTTTTTCTTCTTCATCTACATTTTAACTTTGATATCACAAAAGAAATAAAGCATATAAGTTTTATTACATTTGTTATACATTGTTGTTATTTATTATTAAAACAGCATCATTTTATCATACCATTTGTGAATGCTAAAAACAATCCATTTTTAGAAACTGATTTATCCCAGTATCACCACCAAAAATTCTACCCTACGTGACTTTTGGCCGGCATTACGGCATTAATAAATTAACCACGTGACGAATAAAAGGTGACGAATATGATTTTGCATCCTGAAAAATTCTGTTCCCAGAATACTAAAACGCGAAGGGTGTGGAAGTAGAATTTTTGGTGATACTGGGAAGCTTAGGTATAACAGCTAATACCGTTCTTTGGTAGCACCTCTGGTAACGCTTCTTAACATGTGTCTTGCATATCTGCCTTCTCATATATGTTTGAAGTCAAAGAATTAGTAGTATTCGATGCCTGAATATTGCCGAAGGGTGTTTTCGCTAGTATTTGAATTCATTGTGTTAGTGTTCGAATCTGTAGTATTATTATTCTGCCTGTTTCCTGAAACCATTTCCTTAGAAATAACCATTACCTCTGGTAACATCACCGATTGAAGGAAGGTTTGCTATTTGAATTTTATTTAAGCTCAGCATTTTTGGATTCGAGTTTAGTGGTAACTGCATCTTCTCTAGCTCCGCTATTTTAGCATTAAGTTTGCCAATATTGACTGAATAATCTGCTATAGCCTTTTCCAGCTCGTCAGTTCTGCCCTTAAGCTCCCATATCAACTTCACTTTCTCAGCCTCAGCAAACTATAGTAACTTCTCTCTAAATTCAGGAATATTAGCATTCTCCTAAGTTCTGCAATCTCATCTAAGAGTTTATCATTTATTCTCTCAATGAATCGATGGATTGAGCATCTGACATGTTTAGAACAATGTTTATACACTAAATATTCAAAATTTCGAATTAGTACATAGGTATAAACTGTGACGATCGGATAATTTTTGTATCACAAAATGAATAAAGCACTAAAACATTTATACAAAACAGTACATAAAATTTTTTTATTTTCCGATGCACACCCTACGCTACAATAAAAAATTATTCTTGATATAATGTATGACTTTGTTTCGAATGTTTTATTGATATTATAGATCTGCTACGCGATAGTTCCTACACGATGGTTCTATATTAATGCCTGCAGTTAACATTATTTTTTTTGTTGTATTGCATAAATATATTTATATAATGACTATCCTACCACTGATTCAGCACCTCGCCCATTATACATACATCCTTCCCCTGAAAAGCAACTCCACAAAATCACATTGTTTGGTAACTTTGCCTCAAATACATCTTGTTACAATCGTCCTGTAATGGCAATGGTCCGTTGATT